TGATACTCTCTGTACTAGGCAATTTTATTTTTGCAGAGAAAACATCCCCAACGGCTTCAAATTACTCCCAACGGCTAGAAACGACCACAATCTCATTCCAACATATAAATATAAGTTCAATACACTTGAAGAAGAGTTTGAACACCTATCCAAAAAATCAAACACAAGAGAAGATCTTTTCACTCTTTATTCATATTCTCTTGTAAATATTTTTTGTTCTTGTGAGCTTTCAATTTGTAAACACCTTCCTTTTTAGAGGTTTTATTTGTTTACATCTTTTTCCTTGTAAATGGGTTTTGGTTCTAGTTGGGCCTTTTAAAGCTATGGAGTTTGTAAATGTTATCTCTTTTTCATTGAAAAATAAAGAACAAATTAGTAATTTTTTAGAAAATTCTTAGTGAGGAGCTAAAGTAGTGGAGGTAGACATAGTTGAGAAGTCGAACCAGTATAAATTGATGTACCAATTTTTCTATATTTTTTCTCCTTACTCCCCAAATAATTTTTTCCAATTCACCCCTTGTGAAATTTTCGGTTGATCAAATTGAGCTTCTAAAATCCCAGCAATTGTTATCAGAACTTGACTCATTAGAAGGTTTAACCACCTTAAGAGGATCCTAGAAGAAGCTCTACCAATTCCCGATGCAACCGACAAGAAGATAGCTTTGACTTCCGGCTCTTACTACATTGAAGACTCATAATAGGTCAACAAGCCATCTTACTTCAATTAAGCTAATTATTCCTATTGGAAAATAAGATGATGCTCTTCATTCAATCAAATGATCTAAAAGCTTGGAACTCAATCATGAAGGGATACTTCATTCTACCCGGTGAGATGAATGATTGGAGTGATGGAGAGAAAAATAAGTTCCAACTCAATGCTAAGGCTATGCACATCCTCTTTTGTGCATTAGGCACGAGAGATTATGGAAGAGTCTCATTTTTTTCCAATGTCAATGAGATATGGGACAAGATCCAAGTCACTCATGAAGAAACCGATAAAGTGAGGGAAACCAAGATAAGTCTTCTCAACCATAGCTATGAGAATTTCAAGATGAAACTAGATGAAGACATCAAAGCTATGACGGATATATTTTTCGTGATTTTTAACGGTCTGAAGGGATTTGGAGAAGAAATCCCTAATGAGAAACTTGTGAGGGAGATGATCTACTCTCTTCCAAAGTCTTGGCAATCGAAGAAGACGATGATCATTGAGGCTAAGAATCTAAAGTCTCTCACTCTCGATGAGCTTATTGCTTCTCTTCTCACTCATGAGTTGATGGTGAAGGAAGAGGAAGAAGATGAAGAGAAGCAAAATAAGAAGGATGAGGTAGGCACATCATTCAAATCCACCAATGAGAGCAATCAAGATTCAAATGAAGAGGTGGATGACACGATGATGAAGAAGAAGAGATGGCCAAACTCTTCAAAAGATTCAAGAGATTCATGACTTCTAAGGAAGTAAAGCATGAATCGAGAATGAATAAGAGTCCCTCGGTGTGTTTCAATTCTCAAAGAACAAGGCATGTCAAGTATGATTGTCCCCTCCTAAAGAAGAATGGATCAAGTAAGAAGAATGGATTAAGTAAGAAGAAGAAATTTATGGCAGCTTGAAGTGATGAAGATGACTCCAATGATGAAGATGAAGTAGCCAACCTATGCCTCATGGCCATCCAAGAAGATTCAATGGTAACTTCTAACTCAAATGAATTATATTCTTATTATTTTGACGAGTTACAAGTTTCTTATAATGAAATGTATTTGGAATTTGAGACCATGAATTCCAAATATAAGAAATTAATTTCAAAACTTAAAGTTGAGAATGATTTGGTTTTGAAAGCAAAAGTTTATTTTGAAATACAAAATGAAATTTTGAAAAATGATTTAGAGAGTTTAAAAATCAAAATCAATGATTTATAAAAAATAAAATTTTGATTTGAATGTTAAGCTTGAAAACTTAACAAAAGAAAAAGAATTAATTTCTAAAAACAACTCATTTTGTTTAAAAATGGCAAAATGCTCACATTGTCATTTTCATGGTCACATGGAAAGTTCTTGTCCTATAAAGAAAAGAAAACCTTTTAAAATTAGACAAGTATGTGTTTCTAAGGGAACAAGGGGCATTGAAACTAACGTCCAAGGATCCAAAGCAATTTGGATACCAAAATATATTCAATGTCTCTTGTAGGTGTGTGGGAGCAATGATGATGAAAGTGAAGATATTCAAATGCTTTAGCCACACTTGAAAAAGGAATGGGTAACCTCCAAGATTAATGCTTTTGTTTTGATTAATTGGTTGCTCATTTAGTTTTAAACATGCATGAGTTTTGATTTTAAATGATTTTATGTTTTTCTATATCATGTATGCTAAAAAGGAATTATGATGAACATTTTCTAAAGTTTTAATGCTTTTTTATAATTTTTAGTTCATTTTAATGAATTTTGGTCAAAATTGGTTTTAAATGCAAATGATATCTCTCTAACAATTGATATCAAATTTTCAAATGCTTTGATTTTACAAACTTTAAATTTTGACCTAAATTTAAATGTTTATGCATGTGACTTAAAAGGCAAATGATATCTCTCTAACAATTGATATCAATTTTTTAAATGCATAACGTTTTTAAATAACTTTATACATATGCACTTAATTTTAACAATTGCTATTGCATAAAGAATTTTAGACTTGGATATATTGAATTTTATGTTCTACTAACATGTTTGTTACTCTTTGTTGAAATTCAATTTTGTTTAATTGTCATGCTTTTAAAGTTAGATATTTGTTTGGAATACTATTTTTGAGGGAGAGTTTTGATTTTTCAAATGATTTTAATGTTAAAATTACTACTTACTTTCCAATGTTATTTTTGAACTTTAAAGTTGAAGTATTTTTATATAAAACAAGGGGGAGAAATATGAGTTTGAAAAAAAATCAATTTCTCAATGTAAAAGGCGGAGCTGAACATTTTCCAGCAATTTGGCATCTTTTTCATTAAATATTTTATTAAGGGGGAGTTTTGCCAAAATTTTTTTCAAATGTTTTGTTATATCAAAAAGGGGGAGATTGTTGAAATGTGTTTAAATATAACAATTTATGGCAAAACATTTTTGGACTTGAATTGAATTTATTCAAAGTTTTCAAAAATAATTCAAAGTCCATTAAAACTTGGAATTGAGAACAAAATGATTTTCTGGACAAGAAGTATCGATACTGTTTTTACAGTATCGATAACTCATGAACAGTACCAATATTGTTCATAGGGTACCGATACCAAAGGTAAGGGAAGCATCGATACTCACTAGGTAGTATCAATACTACCAACATTGCTCAAATTCCCAAATGTAGAAATGGTATCGATACCCAAAGGAGTACCAATATTACTTTACATAGTAGTATCGATACCATAGGCTTAGTCTCGATACCGTCAGGTTCAACGACTAGTTTTAATTAAAAATAACAAAGGTAGTTTTGATACTCCCTATATAAGTACCGATACCCTCTGTACTGGGCAATTTTATTTTGCAGATAAAACATCCCCAACTTCTCCAAATTACTCCCAATGGCTAGAAACGACCACAAACTCATTTCAACATATAAACACAAGTTTAAGACACTTGAAGAAGGGTTAGAACACCTATCCAAGAAATCAAACACAATAGAAGAGATTTTCACTCTTTATTCCTATTCTCTTGTATATATTTTTGTTCTTGCGAGCTTTAAATTTGTAAACACCTTCATTTTTAGAAGTTTTATTTGTTTATATCTTTTTCCTTGTAAATGGGTTTTGGTTCTAGTTGGGCCTTTTAAAGCTATGGAGTTTGTAAATGTTATCTCTTTTTCATTGAAAAATAAAGAACAAGTTAGTAATTTTTAGAAAATTCTTAGTGAGGAGCTAAAGTAGTGGAGGTAGATATAGTTGAGAAGTCGAACCAGTATAACTTGATGTGCCAATTTTTCTATATTTTTTCTCCTTACTCCCCAAATAATTTTTTCCAATTCACCCCCTTGTGAAATTTTCGGTTGATCAAATTGAGCTTCAAAAATCCCAATACAAACCACAAAAAGGGATGAAACTATTAAAATAAAATTGACAAATCTCAAATCAAATCGAGCGACATAAAAATACTATCCAGGAACAAAAATTGTGTATACAAATCTAATTAGAGGGTCCAAAGCAGAGAAGATCATCATGATAATAAATAAGCAAAATCTTAATCAGTCGTGGTGATGTCAAATCTAACCCTAAAAAAAGATAAACAAAAACAACGACCAAATAACCAAAAAAAAAGTGCCATAAAGGCAGAGAAAAACATGTTATAAAGTTAGAGAAAACATGTTATAAAGACATGACTATTTAAAATAAATAAATATAAAAAATAATGATATGTTATAATAAAGCAAAGGAAGAATAATGAATAATGTGGTAGAGATCAACACCAAAATTGATGCCATCGTTGATAAAAAATTAAAGAAAAAAACTAACGACAACTAAACAAAGAGAAAAAAATAGGGCAACCCCTATAAATATTGGTTGCACTTGGACAAAGTTAAAGTATTATGTTCCTTACAAATTATTATTATTTTGGATAATTCAATTTTCATCACCCAAGAAAGCAGGAAACCTACTACATAAAATAGCAACTTAACTCTTGCTGCACAAACAGCGTAAGAACATTGTTACAAGTATACCCCAACTTAAGAGATACCTCATTTTACACAGAGGGAGTTGTTTCTCGGATCAGCTCTACTGATAGTACATCCTTTCAGTCGAATCTGAATAATTTCTTTGACTTCTTCCAGCACATCATCCACCAGTCTAGCTTTGCCCACCAAAAAGTCTACTATTTCTCTCCTTCCAAATGACAAACACATGGCCATCCCAAGCAAGCTTAAACACTCTTACAAAGAGAGACTTTCCTTTAAAGCAATGACCAACCCATGCTAACTCCCTATCACAATTGCTAACTCTACAATTTACACCACACAAAGTAAGGATATCTCCTCACAACTCTCTCACAAAACCACAATCAAAGAACAAATGATCTCTAGTCTCAACCTTAATACCATAAAGCATACACTTATCATTTTCAACACTTAACCCCATTCTCAAAAGCCTTACTTGAGTAGGAATTCTATATAAAATAGCCATCCATACAATGATGTTGTGCTTTGGAATTCTCCTTGGAAACCAAACCAGACTATGCCATGGGACCTTTGGAACCTTAGTGCGCATATCCTCCCATATCTGCCTAGTCTTAAGGTCTCTATCCGGACCAGCAAAAAGATGAAAAACAGCAAATCTCAAATTCAAGATGCTTTTGAAACTCCAACTGACATTAATATGAATACTCATCTGCTAAAACTCAACATTCCTAAGAATATAAGCACGGATCCAAGCTACCCAAATGGAATCTTCATTAGTCAAAATGTTTCTAATTAACTACACAATACATGCTTTGTTCTAGCCTCCTATATCTTTAACACCCAGCCCCCTTCAGATCTCACTAAACAGATATGTCTCTAATTTACTAGAGATCCCTTTGCAGGCAGATTAGACCCCCTCAAGAAAAACTAGATCATAACTGCTCAATCTTTCTAATTATCGCTTGTGGCAGAATAAGATGCCTACACCAGTAATTTGCTATGCTGAATAAAACAACACAAACAAGTTACAGTCTACCAACAAAGCTAAGATGCCTATTATCCCATAAATTCAACTTTGCCTTTATTTTATCAATAAGGCATTGCCAATCCTTCACAGTAAGTTTCCTAGTCACCAATGGAACACCCAAATATCTCACAGGGAGATTTCCCAATTTAAATCCAGTAATCTTCCTTATAGCAGCACACTGCTCAGCAGAGACCCCAACTATGTATATCTCACATTTTCTAGCATTTAATTTCAAAACCGATATGGAATAAAATGTATCTAAAATAGTTTGCACTCTAATGATTGAATCAATTAAACCTTTGTAGAATATAAGCAGATCATCAACAAAATAAAGGTGGGTGAGGCCAATCCATTTACACTTAGGATGGAATTTAAAAATTCCCCTCAAAACAACCACATTAAGTAAACTAGACAGGACATTCATAGCAAGGACAAAAATATACAGTGAGAGAGGATCACCTTGCCTTATACCCCGAGCAACCCTAAAATAACCAACTAGGCTACCATTAAACACTATATAATATCTAGGATTTGTAACGCATGCCCAAATCCAGCCAATGAATTTCTCAAGCAGTCTCAAAGCATACAAGATAACACCTACAAACTCCCAGTTTAGAGAGTCAAATGCATTTTGTAAATCAATTTTTAGAGAACATCTCGTAGAGATATTTTTTGTAGTGTAACCCCTTACAATCTCTTGAGCAAGTAGTGTGTCATCTACTATACTCCTCCCTTTCAAAAAAGCAGTCTGGTTCATGGAGATCATACCAGGAAAAACAGAAGCCAATCGGCTCACTAAAATTCTTGTAACAGTCTTATAAATAACTGAGCAGTATGAAATAGGTCTAAAATCCCTAACCATATTTGGGTTAGGCACCTTTGGCATAATAACTATAGCCATTGCATTAAAAGAAGGGAGTATAAAAGAGTCATCAAAATAGTCCTGATGGTAGCCTTAAAATCATCCTCCACTATAGGCCAACCTCTTTTGAAAAAATAAGAGTTATAACCATTCGGCCCAGGAGATTTTTTATTCCCATGGACCCATATGGCCTCCTTTATCTCATCATCAGAAATTTCCATGCATAAAGCATCTACAATACCTATAGGCAAGGATTAATCAAGAAGGTCTTTAATCATCCTGACATTACAACCCTTCACATCTGGATCAGCCACACCCAATTGGTTTAAAAAAAAATTAATCACCTCATTTAACATTGCATCAAAAGTATCAAGCCTAGTTCCATTTTGATCATAGAGAACCCAAATTGTGTTACTCTTCCTCTTGCTAGCCACCATAGAGCGGAAGAATCGAGTCCTTTGGTCACCATCTCTAATCCAATTCACTTGTGCTTTTTGCTTATAGAAAAGCAATTTTGTCTCTTCAAGAACTTTCAATTCACTCTCAACTTTCAACTCAGCATTAATATTGTTGCCAGCAATATCATATCCTAATTGGCCAGCTGAATTTTATCAATTCTTCTCTCTTTCATTTAACTTGACCCGAAATGTCACTAAATTAAGCCCTATTAAGCTCTTTGAGACAACTCTTCAACCTTTTAAGTTTTTGAAACAACACCTGAGCTGGATTCCCAACAACTGGGGCCTGCCTAGCTCCTCAACTATAGACATAAATTCTGGATGTAGCATCCAGAAATTGAAGAACTTAAATAGCTTAGGTATAGCTACAAGAGCTTTTTTATGCAGCCAAACTAGAGCATGTCAATGATCCGAATCTCCTGGAGTTTGTAATTCAACATCTGAATCAGTAAATGCTCCAACCCAGTTTGAATTCACAAGTACACGATCCAATTTACGTGAAAGGTAAGTTACTTGTTGTTTGTTCGACCAAGTAAAAAGAGGACCGGTAAATGGATGATCAAAAAGCTCCAACTCCACACAGTTTTGAAAATTGAAAATGTCAGCATTTGCTCATGCACTAATAGGAACCGAGCTTTCCTCCATTTTTAAAATGACATTAAAGTCCCCTCCTATCAACCAACGCATAGTATCCACCATACTTTCCACAGTACTCAGTTGATTCCATAGCTGCATGCGAACACATGCCTCATTAGAACCATAAACTGTAATTATCCTTAGAAATTAGAGTTTAGAATTAGATTACATTTTAGGGTAAACTACTTGAATGACCACCTAACTATGATTTTAGAGATGGACTGACCTGTCCCGACCCTCCAGCCCATACCCAGTTCGAGGAGACCCCTAGAACTCCTAACACTACGCCAAATGAGGGACGGGGAAGAACCCAAATTTGCCTCCATAAATGAATAGTTGAGGAAATATTTGGCCTTTAGAAGCCTAACAAGTGAACTTGGGTTAATAACAATGCGCCAAGCTTGTTTAGCGAGAAGAGGGACGTTGACTTTGCTAAAGTCTCAGAAACCCATGCCTCCTTGCTTTAATTTGCTCAAATCAGACCAGCTACATCAATGAATACTTCTTTTATTTGCTGACTTTTGCCACAAATAACGTGCAAAAATTGCTTCAAGTTCTTTGCATAAGCTATTAGGAAGAAAAAAATAAGACATTGCATATAAAGGTATAGATTGAAGTACAACCTTAATAAATGCCACTTTACCTCCCATAGAAAGGAGTCGAGTGCTCCACCCTTGAACTCGATTTTGAAACTTTTCCTTAAGTTTGAGGAAGGTTTTCCTTTTATTTCTCCCAACTATAGAGGGAAGGCTTGATAGATTACAAAATATTCTCCAAATATTTTGTATTTACTATTGTATATTTAGTTGCCTAAGTTATAGCCTAATTCCTAATTACAAAATATTCTCCAAATATTTTGTATTTACTATTGTATATTTAGTTGCCTAAGTTATAGCCTAATTCCTAAATTATAGCCTAGTGATTAGGATTGTATCTACTAATGACTGTGTATATATTAAACCCCTGTGGTAATGAAAAAGACACGGAATTACATTCTTTCATGGTATCAGCTACGGTTGATCTATCCTAGCTTCTGCAACCCTATTTTTTTCTCTTCCTCTTCTTCTCTGTCTTCTGTCCTTCCGTCTGATATGGCTCCCACATCATCTTCCTCATCCTTTCACCCTACTCTTGCTGTTTCTAACATCAAGACACATGTTCCCATCACTCTTGAGATGGAGAACGTCCAATATACAAATTGGGTAGAGTTATTCAAGGTCTATTGTCGATCTCACAAGGTTCTTCATCATATTATCCCACCGAAATCTAAGGACGGGGAGGCCACAGAGCCGACCATCTTTAGTCAGGAAGAACAAGAGTTATGGGATACGTTGGATGCTGCTGTGGTTCAGTGGATTTATTCCACAATTTCGACAGATCTTTTGAATACCGTTATTGAAGCCGATGTTTCTGCCATGACTCTATGGAATCGTCTTTGCGATTTGTTTCAGGATAATGAGAACTCTCGTGCTGTTTCCTTGGAACACGAGTTCAACAACACCTACTTGAAGGATTTCTCCTCGGTTTCTGCATATTGCCAGCACCTCAAAACACTTTCCGACCAACTCAAGAATGTGGGTGCTCCGGTTTCGAACAATCGTCTTGTTCTTCGCATGGTGGGTGGTCTTACACCGGCTTACAAGGGAGTTGCTTCGGTTATTCGCCACAAAAAGGTACTACCACCTTTTTATGAAGTTCGATCGATGTTGGCCTTAGAAGAAACCAGCATGAAGGAGGCGACGGCTGATGATGCGATGATGGTGACTAATCATGACACTGATGAGATTTCTAATCATCCTCCTCCAGGTCGTGCACGTGGAAAACAGAACAAGCACCGCAACAACAACAAAAACCGCAAACCTACTAGTAGTGGAGTTCAGGCGCCGGGTGTTGGACGTGGTGGCAACCGTGGAGGTGGTCCGAACTTGGGCAGTGGTCAGCAGGGTCCGATGAAACCAACATGGGCTATGCCTCCTTGGTGGACATGGATGCAACCACCTTGGGTCATGCCTCCTTGTCCATATCCGACTTAACCTTGGGGTAGGCAAGTTGGACCACGACAACCTGGTATTCTAGGAGCACGACCTCAGCAGCAGCAAGCCTATACTACAGCGTCCGAGTGGGCTCCTACGGATATTGAGTCCGCCATGCACACCATGTCTCTCTCTCAATCGGATCCAAACTGGTATATGGATATTGGGGCGGCGTCTCATATGACATCAACACAAGGTAATCTCTCGTCTTATGTTAATATGAGCAAAGATAATGGTGTTACTGTTGGTAGTGGTCAGTTAATTCCAATTCGTGGTTACGGTCATACCGTATTACCTTCCTCGAACCCACCTTTATCTCTCAAACATGTCCTGCATACTCCGAATCTTATTAAAAATTTAGTGTTTGTTCGGAAATTTACAACTGATAATAATGTGTCAGTGGTGTTTGATCCTTGTGGGTTTTCCGTGCATGATTTACAGACGGGGAGACGTCTAATGAGATGTGATAGTACCAGCTCTCTCTACCCAATCACTCCCACCAGACCGCATCCAGCCTCCTCTCCTACTGTTTTGCTTGCTTCAACGCTTTGGCATGACCGTTTAGGTCACCCGGGCGACTCCATTTTATCCATTCTTCAGCAAAATAAACTAATTGCTTGTAATAGTCCATCTAAGTCTACTACTTGTCAATCTTGTGTACTGGGAAAATATATTATTCGATTGCCTTTTGTTCTTTCATCTTCTCAAACTTTCATGCCTTTTGATATTATTCATAGTGATATTTGGACTTCTCCGATTTTTAGTTCTTCGGGACATCGTTATTATGTGCTTTTTTTGGATGATTATTCGAAATTCTTGTGGACTTTTCCCATCGCTAATAAATCACAAGTATTCTCCATTTTTACTAAATTCCAAGCTCATATTCGTACCCAGTTTGAACGAGATATCAAAACCATACAATGTGATAATGGGGGAGAGTTTGATAATGCCTCTTTTCGGCAATTCTGTGAGTCCCATGGCATTTCTTTTCGTTTCTCCTGCCCTTATACCTCCTCACAAAACGGGAAGGCCGAACGAAAAATAAGATCCATTAATAATATCATGCGCACACTACTTATTCATGCCTCTTTGCCACACTCTTTTTGGCATCATGCGCTTCATATGACAACCCATCTTTTGAATATTCTTCCCAGTACACTACTAGCCGATGCGTCTCCTCTACAAATTTTATACCACCGGGTTCCCTCTTATTCTCACATTCGGGTTTTTGGGTGCTTGTGTTATCCTCTTATTCCATCCACGACTATTCACAAATTACAAGCTCGATCCACTCCCTGTGTTTTCTTGGGTTATCCCGATAATCATCGAGGGTAAATGTTTTGATTTATCCAACAATAAAATCATAATCTGCCGGCATGTACAATTTGATGAAATTATCTTCCCTTTTACCAAAGTCCATCAACCTAGTACAAGTGATTATGATTTTTTTGAATGATGGCGTGTCGCCGTATCTTCTTCATCAAAACCAACCACAACAGACTCCACTTTCTTCTCCTACGACCCAACCAGTCATGTCTCCTCCAAACCCTTCACCAATTCGGCCCAGACCGCCCCCTGTTCCATTCGAACGCCCTGTCACCCGCAGCCAGCATGGTATCTTTAAGCCAAAAACTATATTTGACCCATCCGAGGCCCATACTATCACGGTTACGAGATCTCCTCTCCCACGTAACCCTGTGGTTGCACTTCGTGACCCGAATTGGAAGTTGGCTATGACTGACGAATATGATGCTCTTATTAAAAATAAGACGTGGGATTTAGTACCCCGTCCTCCTGGAGTTAATGTCATTCGTTCTATGTGGATTTTTACTCATAAAATAAAGTCTGATGGTTCGTTTGAGAGGCATAAGGCCCGTCTTGTAGGTGATGGTAAAACTCAGCATGTTGGTATTGATTGTGGAGAGACTTTCAGTCCGGTAGTGAAGCCAGCAACAATTCGTACTTTACTTAGTCTTGCCCTGTCGAAACAATGGTTGATTCATCAGTTAGATGTAAGCAATGCTTTTTTGCATGGTGACCTCAAGGAAACGGTTTATATGCACCAACCTATGGGATTTCGAGATCAAGTGCATCCTAATTATGTCTGTTTACTGCGTAAATCTCTCTATGGGCTCAAACAAGCCCCTCGGGCGTGGTACAAGAGGTTTGCTAATTTTGTTTCTTCCATTGGTTTCTCTAACAGTAAATCAGATACTTCCTTATTTATTTACAAACACGGGTCGGATACGGCATACCTACTGCTTTACGTTGATGACATTATTCTGACGGCGTCTTCTGAGCATCTTCGCAAGTCTATAATGGCTCGTCTCAACTCTGAGTTTGCTATGAAGGATTTGGGTTTCTTGAACTATTTTCTCGGTATTAGTGTGACTCGACACAAGGGTGGGTTGTTTTTATCACAACAAAAATACGCTGAGGACATCATTGATCGAGCAGGCATGTATTCTTGTAAGCCCAGTCAGACTCCAGTTGATACCAAGCCGAAGGTGAGTGCCAACAGTGGTGCACGATATGCTGATCCAACTCAGTACCGCAGCCTTGCGGGTGCCCTGCAATATCTCACTTTTACGCGGCCGGATATTTCCTATGCAGTTCAGCAGATTTGTCTCCATATGCATGACCCTCGGGATGAACATATGAACGCTCTCAAGCGTATCATCCGGTATATCCAAGGTACTCTTCATCTTGGTTTACATATTTCTCCTTCCTCCATTACCGATCTTGTCTCTTATACGGATGCGGATTGGGGAGGCTGTCCCGATACTCGACGATCCACCTCCGGGTATTATATTTTTTGGGGTGACAATTTGATCTCATGGTCGTCCAAACGACAACCTACGCTTTCCCGATCAAGTGTCGAGGCAGAATACAGGGGAGTTGCCAACGTTGTCTCGGAGTCTTGTTGGCTTCGTAATCTTCTTCTCGAACTCAACTGTCCCATCCGTAAAGCAACAATGGTTTACTGCGACAATGTGAGTGCTATCTATCTTTCTGGTAATCCCATTCAACACCAGCATACGAAGCACATTGAAATGGATATTCATTTTGTTCGAGAAAAAGTTGCACGGGGTGAGGTTCGTGTTCGTCATGTGCCGTCTAGGTACCAGATTGCGGATATTTTCACTAAGGGGTTGCCCCTTATATTGTTTGACGATTTCCGGACCAGTCTTAACGTTCGAGATCCTCCCGTTTCGACTGCGGGAGAGTGATAGATTACAAAATATTCTCCAAATATTTTGTATTTACTATTGTATATTTAGTTGCCTAAGTTA